GTAAGTCACGGAAAATCACTACCAGAGGTGCACTGCACTCATACATAACATAATGTTATTCTATAATTAATACGAGTATTACGTATCATATATAATTACTATCATTATTTGATATTTGTATTTCGACTTGCATCAAATATTCCATTATCAAAGTAAATTGAACCTCTTTAGAAGAGTAAAAATACAATAAAATCATACATATCATTTGATACACAGTCGATAGATGCGCTATGGGTGTTATACGGTGTATTTGCAATCAATTTGTATGAAATATGCTGTACTATCAAAGCAAATTTAGCCTCTCTATGGATACTATATGAACGTTCTTGCACTTTCCCATTTGAGCTGTGGCTGTTTTCAACTCTGGTATCAGGTACTGTGCGTACTGTACAGTACAGTACAGCGTACAGTACATTGCACTGTCTACGTACAGTACTTTATACTGTGCACGACTATCCTGACTGGACGTACTGTACTGTACTGTCCAATACTGTGCAAGTACAGCATACATTAGCTGTAATCAGAGCGAAATTAAAAGACGAAAAGGCACGCTTGCTCATTGGCCTGATAAACAAAAGAAACTAGAAAATCGCTTGGATCAGGCCAATGAACAATCGTGTCTTTCATCTAGTAATTTCGCCCGCCTCCGCGTGCTTGATAAGATGTCGACGCCCTGCCTTCAACCCTAAAACGGTGACGCGATATGGAATGAATCGTACGATCGATCGATCCACTGACTGACTGATGGTTGTTTATAGTAAAAGACAATGTGGTCACGTAGACTGCTCGAAACAGCTATACAAAGCTCGTCTACACCTATGCTATCAAAGTATTAAAGTACTGTGTCCAGTAATTAAGTGTGCTTTTGAGCTTCAGTGCTGACTGACGTTAACGGGTCAACTTGAGTGGGACGTGCCATACTGCAGTGAAACGACCGAAATTGCCAACATGGCTACGGTGGAGGATTTCATGAACCAGATCGGAGATGCTGCTGGACTACCTTTACTGGGTGTCAAGTTATTAGTCTGTTTAATCGCAGGTATTGAATTTTCAAGTCCATTTTCCACTTTTTCAATGATATCCAATAGAACATGGGACGCCTATTTTACCCTTTCAATGACAGCACATGACTACTATCGTTTTCTCCGTGATTGAAATCGAGTAGACACGTTTTAAAATTCAATCTCACAATATTACCGATGGATGAGCGCGTAAAATATCGATATGTTTCCTTCCTTATTTTCTCCTCAAGCAAATGATGTAGTCATTTTACAGCCATAAACAGCCGCAACCATAGCTAATGAGCCAATTGATAGTTGATACAGTAGTACCGGTAATATTCTATACTATATAACATACAGTACAGTATAAACCAATTGAAAAAGGACGGTCACCATTGCCATGGTGGCCATACAAACTACTGCAATGACAAGTATTCCAAGATTCTCTGAAAAAAAGGACCACATTCTTGCTATTTTGACCCTGAAATAGATACAAATAGGTAGCTATCAAGTCAATTTTTTTAGACCTGTAGGTACATTCTTCAAGTTGTTAAAGGTAGTTGTAATATGCTGAATGATAAATAAATACAGTAGAAGGATAGGCTGTCTTTTGCGCAATCTTTGCAAGCATGTCGTACCATTTTTCATAGACAGCTAGTGCGTATTGGCATGTCAGTCAGTATTTGGAGTTGCATGGCAATGTAGAGGAATGATCGCAGTAGGCAATAAATAGATAATAGCAATTTAAAAAAAATTAAACTTTACACATGGCAGCTATATCCTATTTTCTCCATGCAATAGTCCAATCAGCTGTTCTTCACGACTATTGGTATTGCATGAATGTACTTCATTCAAATTTTAGCATCAATTCTAAATGGTTCATCCTTGACAATCTTGTTACTTAGATGCTTGCTAAAGCCGGCTTCTACTTTTACCATAGTAGATTTGTTGTAAGTCTTTCTCTTCAAATTTTCAATCCTAGGACCGTAGAGATCAACAGTTATAATACATCGTTGATCATGTTAGCAACTGAAAGTTAAATGTTTGTTTTAATTTCTTTGACCGTGTATTTTTACAATATCTCGCGTGTCAGTATCGTTACGCTGTTTTCAGTTTACACTATCCATTGTGCTATGTAGGCAATGCACTATTTATACAGTAAAATAAACTTAAGACAGATTGAAACGTAAAGATGATAAATTGATGCTTTGACCACTACTCTAATCAAAAATTGATATTACACAGGACTATGCTCTCGTGTACACTATATGTACGATGCGAATGAATTAATTCCTTAACAGCAATTACAGGACCGGCTATAAAAAATGGTCTGCAATTCTACTTATACCCATGTATTAAATTACATAAGCGGTGCATTGCTACATAAACTTGATACTTCTATGCTGCATCGATATCGGCTTTGATCCATCAATGCTATATCATCTACGGTGTATTAACTAAAAAGATTGCAGCATTCAGATGATGCACACAATTTAAAGTCATAGAGCTCTAAGATTTTAAAGGTCCACAAGACAGTGTAGAATACTGACTGATCTACTCAATAATAATACGACTCTTATTCATTTATTCTTAAACAGGTTATCCTTTAGGTCTCATTCATAGATTAATTTTTATCAGAACTAGTGCCTCAATTCAGGTATCGTGATCAATTCTTTCTAGAAAACATAGAATCTTAAATTTGTATTGCAGTTAATTAGGGCTTAGTCGGTAAAGAGATGGATGAATAATTATATGTGTAATAAAACATGCCAAGAATTACTAAAAGTGTTAATATCACTGATCATGAATTTAACATGCTACCTTCTATTTATTTCTTTTCCTAGCACATATTCTTCACGATTGTTGGCATTGGCATTGCACGCTTCTGTTTTGGTATTTTATTATTATTTAATGATTTATTAAAGCTTAGTAATTACAAATTCTAGCAATTGCCTTAGTTATGAGACAGCAATATATTTTAAAGAAAAATCAGTTTCAGATGGTTGCAATTATACGAGTACTTTAGATCATATGATTTTCAATTAATCATAAAAATATTCAGTGAATTGGTCACTACTATTAATTATATTTTTATTGATCTGACGTTATTATATACTTGCAACAATTGTCAACAAGTTAAATTTTTGTAGCTTTCAGTACAAATTATAATTGTAGGCAGTAAAAGAAGTTAAAAAAGTGTTCTGAATAGTCTTTCTCTTAATTTTTAGGTAACGATTTCGTTCATTCATTAGCGAATATTATCATCAATTATATATTATTATCGGCTCTTGGTGGAACGTCACTATCAGTTGCATTAGCATTCATTATACATATGGTAAAGTAGTCATAATAAATTATGCGAATTGAAAACTATACGAGTATTGTATTTAATTTCAGTTTCTATATTACTGTATACAAGGAGATATTATTGTGTTGCTATCGATCGAATTACATTATTTATATTAATAATTATTTTATTACTTTGTTAGGGTTATTTGTTAGGTGGATACTATTACTATGCCACAGACGACTACGATATCGATTGGACAACTGCTCATTGCGTTCTAACCTTAAAATTGATAGGTAACAACTAGATATCTTTTATCTTACATATAAGGGTATTGATCGAGATTTGCTTTTCCACTGTTTTTATTAACACGCAATATTGATTATACGCTGATGCATGCTAATCCAATAGCTGTTGTATTCGATCGATACGATGGTGCACAGGACGAGGTTTGGATCTTATTTTACTTTATCCCTTTCTATGCTGTCTGTTGCTACCGCTCTGAGTATTCATAGTTTTCTATTCATTTTTACTTTATTCGCCTATCAGGCAAAGTTAAATGAGGAACAAAAGTGGAGATGCCTTAAAGAAACTCCGTCACTCTTAGAGGTACAGAATATAAGTGCAAGTTAATTTACCTATATGATAAACCTAATTGCACTGAATACGCATACCACATTGTAACTATCAATATTTTGATAAAGCTTCATATTGTATTAGATGCTAGGTCATGCGTACTTTTTTGGAGGTTTTTTGGTTGGTCCTCAGGTATGAGATTGCTACCTATTAAGAAGGCTATTAAATTCTTAATAATAAGTTAATTGATCCATTATGGACTATTTGCAGATTTCAATGAGTAGATATCTAAAATTTACTTCTGGAAGTTTGCTTCGTAATGCGCCACAGTCTCCTTTCTCTAGGTGAGCCGAGTAATATGTTATTAAAAATTTAGCGGATATTTCAAATACATCTATATCCTTATTTTACAAATTCAATCTTAGTGTCCTTCCCGCAACGATTCGCATTGTTACTGGTTTTGTTTACATGGGTGTATATTCAGTTGTATCTAGTTATGGTGCTCCAGATTATATGCTTACAACAGAGTTCGCGGTATGCTCATTATTGTCTATCTTTCTGGTATGTCATAATGTACTGTACGTTCCTAAATGGTAAAGAAAAATTTTCTTAAAATCAATATTTAGAATTCACCTGAATGGTATCGTTTAATTTATCCATACATTTGTGTTCGAACACAATTTGTGAGATACGTGAGCGCTTGGTTGCTTGCTGTAAGTATTTGTGAACTGCTCATTGTATCATATTCAGACAGATGTTATTTTAAGACTGAAATATTGATGATTTACTATATGTCAGTTTCCACAGCACTGCGTGTTACAAAATCTTCTAAGTAGAACTTACCTATAAATACTTTATAGGAAAGCAGCTGTATGATGAGTGGTATTTCTTACAACGAGAAAGGCACGAATTTTTATTCTAAATGGAATGCTATGGCTAACGTTCGCTTAAGAATTTTGGAAACTGCCTATACTGTCAAAGTAAGTTGCATTAATTTTACTACTGTAATCAATTTAATTTTTGCGGTTATTGTAAGGCATCTTAACTTTGGATCTCGTTTATTGTTGTAGCATTTGATTCAAAGCTTTAACATCAATACCAATAGATGGGGCGTTAGGTAATACAGTACACTACTTCATTGCGAGTATATGTAGATGATGTGATCTTACTGTACGCTTTCTTTAATCTTCGTAATATTTTCAATTTTATCAGCTATATTTACAAGAGGCTGCGTTTTCTCGGTAACACAATGTTATCCCAATTGGCCCTTTTATACTTTTTAGCTATATGGCATGGTCTTTACATTGGCTATTTCGTTGCTTTTACAATCGAACTGGCTGATGTATTTATGGAAAATGAGGTGCTTTGGATGTTTCTTTAAGATAGAACTCATTTTGTTACTTGTTTTTAGTTGAGTTGTTATGAACCCGAGGTTTTTAGATGTCCAAAAATTGTTCTATTAGAAACTAATGAAACAAATAAGCAAATACTAGAAAATGTGAACTTTCTGTTTTTTTATCAGTCTGTGCGAATTTTAGCAATTTTACTGGAAACCGAAAAAACCAGTGAACTACCATTCTTTACCCGTCTTTGTGTGAACGCTTTTCACTGCTTTCGAAGCTTTTACTTCTTAGGAATTGGATTTGCTGCCTTTTCTCTAATAACGTACGAAAAAACCGTTCAGGTACAGTATTTATCATTTGTAATACGATCTTAGCTTATGTAAATCATTTATAACAACATGGGTTAGAGCAGAATTTCTATAACTTTGACTACTGTAACGTTTTTCTTAGGCCTTTAAAAATATTGGCTACGCTCCATTAGTAATATTTGGTATCTGGACTATATGGTATATTGTTTTCAATGCCATAGCAGCGAATAAATTACGAAGACAAAAAGCCAAGGAATTAAAAGACAAGTTAGTCTATTCTTTGTATAGTTTGCAGCTAGTTAACTATGTATATACATTAATTTACTATTACCAGACCTAGATAATTTTCTAACTGCAACTACTTAACATTTACCATAGGACAAGCTAGCCTGGTCTCAGAATTAGAGGAAGTGTATTCGACCCCTATAATAGATTTCATACAATTCTCGAATCTCCTTTTAGGGTTTTTTTTAAGTCGCGTAGCTAAATTCAAGTTTCTACGATGATCGTTTGCTATTTTCAACATACGACACTTTAATTATGGAATAGATTAAAATTTTGCGTTTCTTTGGTTAAATAAATACCAATTCAACAATTTTAATTGGTAAGAGTGACATAATTTGACGTTTGAAAATAGTATAACAGCGCTCTAATAATTCGCTTAAAATGTTATTACTTAAATTCGATCATGAAACAAACAGTAACTTCATAAGATTACAGAAGTTAATTATGCTTCCAACAAAATTAATTAACGATCGCGTTATTTCAGAAATAGTTTAGTCTTTACAAATGCCAAATGCCAGAGAAGAATAAATGCAAGATAACTAGTTATCAACAGATAAAGTTGCATATCTAGATACGTTTTCATTTAAACAAGATTAGCTGATAAATGATATTCGAACGTAGCAATGGTGACATGGAGATAGAATGTGATTTTAAACAAGTCTTTAATGGTTTTAGTAACTACGTTATCCATTGTATACCTACGAAGGTCTGCAAATACCTAAAAAAAGTAGTTTCACTAACGGTATCTTGCGGATATTAGTAAAATTATCAGCATTTCTAATAGCTAATACACTATAGATTGACTAAAAGGATAAAATGTACTTTCGTTGAAAGCAGTTCGATATTTCTAGGTTTTATACGCGTAAATGAGAACAGTAAAAGTACTTGCCAAAACGGCCCCGATTGGTACTATTTATATATATACACGCATATCGATAACGATCTCGACAATGAATACCGAACTACAAGTTCGTTTAGATATGATAGAAATGGTATTTGTGGACTAATTTACTCTTCTGCTTTCCCAGTTTTGATGCTGTATAGGTAAGAAAGCATGTTAAAAAAAACAATTAGTAGATTGACAATAGTAGGATAAAATAATGCGATTTACTGTGAATAGTAATTGAATATGTTATACCTAATAACTGCACGATTTTTACACTGGTTGATTCGACATAACGAAAGAATCAGGATTTCTACAGTACTCACTTTCTTCTTGATGAAGGAAAAAGCCTTGATTTGAAAACACGGAAAGTAGTGTAGAATATGATCCAGTAAACGACGCAGTAAAAATTAGCATAACCAAAGACTTTATACGCCTGAAGATTTAAAAGTATACATCATTAGCTTAGTTTCGCATAGTGAATATTATGTGCGCTAAAATCATAGTTATGTCCAAGAAATGCGTCATACTTGTACCGATTAGTAACTATTAAATTACCTGTAAACACCAGTCCAATCGTAGAAGTGTGAATACCATCATTCCAAAGGCTAATATCATATGGCGCATAAAATACGCTAATGGAAATAAAGCTAGTTTAAGAAGAGGATGTGACTGATAAAACGGCGCCCCATATATAGTAGAAAATACATTTCCAGCCTAAAAGGGTTAATAAGTTAAGTTATGGACCACGAATAACAAGTGTAATGAAGTTTAAATATTCTCTTTCCAACAAATACTGTATTATAACCTGCTTCTCTAGCAGAACAGTGATAAATTCCCATGCAAAATTGAGATAATATCCGGCGTAAAAGCCGTGCCAAAGGGATATAAAAGCTAAAGACCCGAAGTGACATAATATTTTACTTCCAAGAAATTTTAGTCTTTTATACACATATCTAAGAAAAGTAAAATAATGTTTTAGGAGCTCAGTAATATTCAGTAAAAAGATTAGTATAGAAATCGACGACGTTTTTTTCTGTTTTACCTGACCATCCAGTCGTTGGTAGTAATATTAAAATTATGAATCAAGCTCTGCAATTAATTTAAAATTGATTATGTTAAAAGTTATTGCTTAAGCACAGCGATAACAGAGAAAATGCAGATCCTTTATTACTTGTAGAGTACATTCAGTTTCAAAAGGCCAAGGGTGACAATTTGCAAGACTGCTCCATTTATCGTATCCGACTTTAACCGCAGAAGGATTATAGCTAATTCCGGTCATGATGCAGCTTCCCTCCTAAAAGTTAAATATAATTTGTATTAACTGGGACCAAAGTTATGAACTCTATCTGAAATAGGATTGAAAAATGTTGTGTATACCGAAAGCAACCAGATGCCATTGTACTTCATTACGCTGAACTTGCTTGCCCAAAATAGAAACCAAAGCCAGTAAGAAAGCGTTTTAGTCTATCGTAATAAATGATATTAGTTTAGACTTGTCTAATAGAATCAATGCATTGAATACTGAGATAGAACCTGAAATCCTGGAGTTAAGATGAGCTTGTAATGAAATTTAGGAAAGAATATGCCATACAATATTAAATAAATGCTACCACCCAGTATACGATATACACCATATTTCAGCCTATAAATTAAACATCAAGGTCTAAAATGTTATGTGAATCATGACATCAATGTATGAGATTCTAATGATAACAGTAAAAGGCATAGTTAATACTGTAAATTAATCAAAACTTACTTTTCACTGAATCGATCATCTTTTGGATTAATTAATTCCCCTGATACGAAACTTAGATATCGCTTCATATTTATCTATACATTTGCGCAATGTTTAAATGCTTAATATATATATATGCGTAAGTAATTTAAAATTGTGTCGGCTACAGCATTGACGTCATAAATTCGTGAATTGTATGTATTAGAACGTACATAGATTAAGTAATTAAATTAAGAATTTTGGATAGTACCTGCGGTCCGATGATAACACTACCAAAGAAGTAGCTTAGGCCCAATAACTACGACAGAAGCACAGCATATTCTTTATTAAAATTTTTGATATGATGGTGCAAAAAGATATCATGAAAGACTTCGAATTTATAAAGATTGGGGGACTAGTTATAAAAATGTAAGCCAAAATTTTAACGAAATATGAATTATGCTTTTATTAATGCGATTGCATACTTCTAGTAATGTTGGAATCCTTTCCAATCGATTTTCTTTCTGAAAGTCTTCCAGCTTTTGCTACAAAAAAGGTAAAATAGTAGTACGTAAAAATTGCTTTCTGTTTAATTATACTTAGAAAGTAATATCGATATAACTGCATCACATTAATGTGACTGCGACGTCTTACGTAAATACCAGAAATGAAACAGTTTTCGGCGTAGATTAATGTTAACTCTTACCTTGTCTCTAGCACCGTCATAGCAATCAAATACTACAGCTAAGAACAATGAAAGTACATGATTAGCGAGTCTGCAAATATACGAGCGTAAATGTAAGCCATCAGATGCTTTATACCAGTCAATTTCAACGTTAGTATGCAATGGACTAGGGTCCAAGTTACATCGTATTGATCTTTAGATTTGTTATAATAACCATACGATAGGTAGCTCTGAGAATAGAGATAAATAATTGATCATCTATCATCTATCAATCTATCATCAGCTTTTCTTGCATTTCTAATGTCAATATCAAATATATGTATTTAACAGATGAATTCCAATGTCTTGACAATGTATCATATCAATATTACTTAATACTAATAAAATGAAATAAAAAAATTTATAAAATTGTGCTTACCATGTTCATTACAAATGCTAAGATAACTGAGATCAGTGTACCACCACAAACTTTTAACAAGATATAGTCTAGCAGGATATTGACCAAACAATGGATGCTTTCGGCACCTAAAATTAAATTTGTGACTGGAATTAGTTGCCTTTGCAATAATTAATCAATTGTATACAAAAAAATATCAAATTTTTCTAACAGTCAGCCGCCGAAGACAGCTATTAGCGTTGTAGCGATGAGGGTTCATCAAATAAGATTTTCTACTAATCGTAAATGTTTAAACTTACCATACATATAATATGTAATTGCTAATCCACATACGCTGAAGTAGCAATGCTAAAGATGAATACAACATTTGATTAGTAAATGGCATGATAGTAGACCTTCAGGAACGAGATCCGCTCAGGTCTTGCGTTAAGTAATCTATGACTTTAAATGAGTATGTCATGTATTAATTTGTACACATTGATTGTTGTAACGAATATTGCAATATTCAGAACTAAAAAGTTATGTAGAAAACTAACTATTCAGCCTAAAAGAGCTTTAATTGATATTGTAGATTTTATATCGGTACTACTTGTATATTGGAACGATTTCACGATAGGACAATATTGATATGCTTTTATTTACCTGAATATTTGGCTTCCTATTGCGTATTAGGCATGAATATATTAAGGCAAGTGGAAGTCCTGTAATAGATGATAATTAACACAAGTCTGATTTAGAAGTAGCCATTGCGTCTATTAGTTCATGAACAATGCAGTAGTTAAAGCTAACGCGTTTAATGGAACTTAATACCATCATCCAACTTTCACATAATTTACGTTATCATAAACAATCTTGAACGATCAGGTTTGTCCTGGCTACTTTAATCGCTAGTGTTATACTACGGAGTCAATAATTAATAATGCAAAAACTGTTGTAACAGATTATGAGATCACTCTAAATAACCACACTAACTATGATAACAAATTGTTTCAATTTGCGGTATGATGAGAATGAGATACGTCTATACGCGTATTTACCATATGAATTAATATATTTATTAGTTACTGAATTATTAATTTAGATAAATTAATGAGGTGAAGCTACAGTAGTTTACGAGTAGTCCGTAATACGATCAACGTGATAGAAGCAATATTGGCTATGAAAAAATATTGACATATCATATAATTAGTGCTGTATAGTTGGCAGCTGTTGATTTTACTGATGATATATTAATTACGTGAAGATGTCATATTGGAGTTTACTGGATATTTTTATACTCTGAAATAGCTAAAGAGGGATGACAGTGATGTTAAAACAGTCTCTTTTTCTGTTTGCTTCAATTTCTATTGCTTAAATCTATTATTTCGATTACTGCCTAAATTCAAGTAATAAGGTTAAAATTATTATATAGTAAATTATGAAGTACATTGCGGTACTCTTGATATGAAATTAAATACTGCACTAGAAAAGTACAGTAGTTCTACTAGTATTGGCTTTCGAGCTACAGTTGTAATCAACGGTCTATTACTGTACTGTATAGTACTAAAAGAATGTACTACAGTATAATTCTATACTTAAGGTTACTAATGAGAATTGAGGATTGATTTATTTATAAATTCTTCACGCTAAAGTTAATAACTATAGATCAAATTATTTCAATAGAATATCACTCAGTCTTGTTTATGATAGTGTTGTACTTAACCGAATCGTAAGGAAAACAATCATCTATGATATCATCATCATTATCGTTGAAATAGGGTCTCTATATCGCACTAAATACATGGTAATCGTGTCTTTCATATTCTATTATCCATTTGTATTCAACTTTATTATATACTATGGTAATTTACCAGTAGAATCACGTAGATCTCGCGAGATCAACGACTCAATTCTTCAACTTATGCTTGTATAATGTACAGTACACCTTGTTTGGATACTGAATAGTTTATATAAGTGATGGATGTCCTCGTGCAGTAATCTATAATATTATATTCATCTTTAATTAATGATCATCCAAGTTAAGAAATGATTTCATTCAAGTTGAAGATCATACAAGTAATTCATGATAACATTAGTTTGCAGTCTAGTACTAGGTTAAAATAATAATGCTAATTGCTGTAATGGCCCTAACAGACATGATGATCCTCCGACTGATTGCCGCCTACAGTACATTGTTCAGTACAGGAACCACATGTTAACCGTGATTGAATCTCCCATACTGAATACCAATATCTCTATTGGCACATGCTTAAATTGGGATCCAAAATCGTCCATACTACAGTACAATTATGGTCTATTCTGCAGTTCGATGTGCTAGTTTATAGTATGTAATTGTTCTTATTTTCCTTCTTGAATATTTTACAAGTTATTGGTCAAAAATGAATTGATTGCAGGTACGAGCGTATCCATAATACTATTCTTACCCATGTACAACGATACTAATAATCTTGCTGTAGACGATGATATCGGCATATTATTGACCGTGTTGGCTATTTCCTTCAACATCTTGTACTGTAGAGAGCAATTAACCAAGTTAGAGTAAATTAATTCGACACCAATGGAGTATTTGTTTATGTATCTTTACACCAGGATATTAGTATTGACCGAAGGATTTTCGATTTTAGTAGGAGTAATCCTGTTATTGGCCTTAATATGGTCAAGGAGAGGAAGAAAAGCGGCGATAGTTAGTCTTTGGCTAGTAACGGCAGAGGTAATTGCTTACAAACTTATGGACTACTAGGACACCTGGACTCATGACCTCTTGACTCTGAACGAGATGATCGCTTCTAAATGGCGTGATTCAAAAAGTTCAAAGGTGTTACTAGGTGTTACTGTACCTGTAAAAGCGAGATATTATTTGTAACAATTATCGTCTCTCTGATCTCCCCTTCTGCTAATAGAAGATAGCTAAGGCAGTGCCAGAAAGTTCAAAGGTCTTACTGTACCTGTAAAAGCGAGATACTATTTGTAACAATTGTCGTCTGTCTGATCTCCCCTTCTTCTGCTAATACTGTAGAAGATAGCTAAGGTAGTGTGATAGCAACGAGATTAATCGAAAGAGGCATGGCGTTCATCTTACTGCATACTCCTCATAAGTAAAAGTAATTTACACTACTGTACTATCAATCTAGAATACTTGGGGTCTACCGATAGTAGCTGAATCATTTTGCAGCATTCTGTACACAGTCATGTAATTTCAGAAGATGGATTGGAGGATTCGGCAAAGCAAATTTTAGTCACTATCGACTATTGAGCCGAGCCCGTCTTTGGTTTATTTCATCAATTGTAATTCTATATTATTTCTATCACACGATATGTACTGTTGCAGTACATTTAAGTTTGCTATGATGTCTATTTGCTGTCGAGGTAGGAGAGCAGATCTTGAACAAATAAAATAAATTTTGTCTGTCTATCTGCCAAGAAATAGTCCAAATTCTCATCGATTTCTCATCAGAAAACGGTTGAATCACTTCTGTTGCGGTTGCGCATCAATGTGCCTTGAAGTCGTTGATAAGTAACAGTGTACTGATACTGCGTAGTGCTATACAGAAGGACTTGTACTGCATGACTGCATAGTTTCTAGCCATTCTACGAGTACTTTTTCTAGTAATCCATATGTAATCCCAAAGAGAATTTTATTTCATATTTTTTAACATCGACAGTACAGTAAGAATTACTAAAGAGAGAAGAGAGGGACTCTCTTCCCCCTCTCTTCTCTCTTGAGTAGCCTCTGTATTACAGTATGGTGGTTTAAGTCGACGATGATATCCTATACACTATAGTCATTCATTCTGAGCATGAACTACAGTACATGCAGATCTAGTACTGTACACTGTACAGTCTTGATTAATTTCGATAGCATCCTGAAAAAGATATAATTGTGTAAGTTAAATCAGGCCCAAACTAGATCAATTCTATATGTAGTTGTATCAGTGGAGATATCCTTCTACATGTATATATATAAATATTATACAGGAATTGCATACAACTTTAATTTTTGAACGAAGGGGTGCCATCGAAAATAATAATAATTACTTCACACTCTACTGTGTCGCCGCTGTAGAGTCCTGTTTTGCGCAGTACTGTACCATGACTCTACAGTGTACAGTACTATAAAGTAGTTTGGAAGGCACTTCTTGGAACACCGTCATGTGAAAGCTGTCTGCCATAGAGATCAAAGAGAACACAGGTACAGTTACAGCAGTATCGCATATACTGTACAGTGTACAGTACATTTCTACAGTACATAGCACGTTAGACACCAAGGTAAAATACTGTACTGCACGCTGGTGTAGCGTAAAACGCCTCCGCCTCGCACTACTACAGTACAACTACTATCAATCATGGCTTCTGCCGGCGAATTAATTCTCCGACAATTTCCTCAAATCGACGATGAGATGTTTAATTACTTAAATGGTAAGAGCTTTACTGCTTATTATTGGTTATAAAATGAACATACTTTAGCTTTAGTTTGATTCTACTAACATCATAGACTAGGGTTAGACAGTAGCATCATGAACTATTCTAAGATGGTGTACTGTACTGTACAGTACAGTATAGTACTATACATTCATTCGACGTGGCAATGGATTCAGTAGAAATAAAAAAAAAAATGTCAATGGAAAGCTTTCTAGAAGTTATCATTGAAATTCATTTATAATATATTTGTGCTCCCTGAATACAGAGTACACACGTATTAAGCTATAATAAGAGTTCAGAATTGACCAAGGTAAATTCTATCATGTCGCTGTTGATTCATATCATAGAATCATAATGTACTATAACAGGACTAAATTACTGGTGTAGCTTTCCTTGATAACCTACTAGCATAGACTATTCGCATTCTTGTGATTCGTGGTTATAGCTAGAACAGTCGTTGCAATTTAGAATCATCGCTTGTCACACAATCTGTAATAAATTAGGAACGTCATATTGCTCTCTCTATCTTGTATGTTATCACTTATTCTTTTCCGTCATTTCTAACATTCCTTTGGATTATCTTCATAAAGGAATAATTGATGGAGAAGATTTCAATAACGACGACGAATTGTATGATGCTATCGGTGACATTTTGCAAGAAATAGGTGGTGATGATGACACGATTAAAAATTTATGCTGCGATCTGATTAAATTAAATACGAAGTAAGCTTTCACAGTCTAAGTTATTTTATCTAGTCCTACAATAGTAATCTGGTCATCTTGATTCTGTAATATTTACTATGATACTGTAGGGATCCAGAAGACGAGGTTACCGCTACATCTCGATTACAAAACTCCATTCATCTTGGAGAAATCGCACGTCAACAAGGTATATACAGCATAACAATCTTAATGTCATTTTCTTCTTGAATTCGATCTTACTCTACTAATCTCATGTTACTATTACATCTTACATCTAGAGGACGACCTTATACAGTCTAATATTTGGCTTTCCGCACAAACTAATGTATCTGTAAGTAAATCCTTTTATTCACAACAACATTTATTTGGTCAGTTCTACTTTAATCCTAGGGCTTATATTGTAATACGATTTAGCACTTATATATACCGATACCTATAATAAATAGTAAAGTATTCATTTGGGTGTAGGCTGTAGATAGGAAAAAACTCGAAAAAGCTGAAGCACGCATGAAAGCTAAGCAAGATAAGAGAGCTGCAAAAGACTCTGATAATAAAGGGCAGCTTTCTAATAGGTATAGTTAGTTCCTAATTTACTTCGCTAACGTTAAGTATTACCTCATCATTTGATTTACAATTACTCGTCTACTTAGTAATTCATTTCATGGCGGAGTTATCGCAAGCCAAGCATTAAATAAACGTGAAGCAAAGCTGGACTCTAGTGGAGCTAAAACGGCTGACATTAATATCCAAAATTTTGATCTTTCCTACGCTGATAGGTATGCATATTTACATCATTCATCTTGGATTACTAGATGATAGCTAACGGTATCCATTATTGTTTGACGTAGGGTAGTAATTCCTTTGAGAATGAAATAGTTTTAAAGTTGAAATCGTACACTAGAACATAAAGATCATAAATATATATGTCGTATATACAGTACTGCATTTTGGGTCTTACACCATGCTTAGACACGTATTCATCTTTATCTTATAGTAAGAAATTACTGATTTGTAAAAAATTTTACTATGACAAGCGCAGCTATGTACAGGACAATATTGTAAACTCTCCAATATTGCTTAAAATGTGATTTAGAATAGGATGCTTTTGTAGTAACAAATTCGAAAACGTATGAAAGTAATTAGATTTCTCTTTGGTCTAGCATTTATAAATGTATGTAGAACATGATATTCAATTACATTTTATAATGATAATATTTCAACGCCAGGACTCTTTTACGAGATGCTGAAGTGATTTTAGTTCGTGGTCGAAGGTATGGACTAGTTGGACGAAACGGAATCGGAAAAACAACCTTACTGCGCGCAATCTCAGGGTATTGTTCTTAACACACCTTCCATATAACGTTTATTGCCCTTGAAAATACGTTATATTTCTTACTTAAATTCACTTTTCAAAATTTTCAAGAGGAGAGTTGAAAATACCATCACATTTTACTGTCCTTCACGTTGAGCAAGAGGTAAAAATTTCTTTTTAGTAAGACGATATATTGACGATGTTACAGAGTTTGAAGTTGATTTAGGAATTTAATTCTTGTATTATAATTAAATTTTTGTTGTCATGTAGGTAGCTGGTGATGATACTGCAGTCTTGCAAAGTGTACTCGAATGTGATCAGCAAAGAGAGCAATTACTTCGTGAAGAGAAAGAACTTAATCTTCAAGTTAATTCAAAGTAAAAAACCTTATCTTCCCATGAAATATTTGACATTTTTGGTAGTGTTAACGTTTATGCGTATTAAAGGTATTTCTTTACTATTTCCCAGGGATAGTGGTAGCGAGGATCATAATTTACACGAACGTCTATCATTTGTAAGATTGTACTGCTTTTACTTTCATCTTTCAGTAGTTAAAGTTACCTGACTCCCAGATTTTTACTAGGTTTATGGAAAATTGAGTGAAATTGAAGCTGATAAGGCACCTGCAAGGTCAATTTTATAATAAACTGAATAGACTACAACCGCATATGAATGGTTTTGTATTATCAAATTTATAAATAATTATTTAAAAATAGTATTCATTTTAATTTTTAGGGCTTCCGTAATTCTGCAAGGTTTAGGATTTTCTACTCAGATGCAAACAAAGACTACAAAGTAAGATATTGTTTATTAATCTAAACATAACTATTTGTTAGATGTAAGATATATATACCTAGCGACATGATTAAAAATTAAGCTGTTATGACTATTTACTTATAATTTAGAGAGTTATCAGGTGGTTGGAGAATGCGACTAGCTTTAGCACGCGCACTGTTTGTTGAGTAAGTGTAACTTCATTACATGAATTTTACATTTTCTATCAATAATTTATATCATTGGTATATTCTTTCCTCTCAAACCTGTGATATAGGCCGGATTTACTTCTGTTGGATGGTAAAGTGTTTTTGATTTATGTATTATCATTACAAGAGATCAATTTTTTATGCGTGAAATATTGCACAAATTTTGACTGACTCTTCTAATTTCATTATAAAGAACCTACAAATATGTTAGATATCAAGGCTATTCTGTGGCTGGAAAATTATTTGCTTGTTAGTCTATAATTTCTGGCTTAGACCATGTAAATTTCACAACATTACCTAACTGTTATCTCACCATAGAGCTGGCCGACAATCTTGTTAACGGTTTCTCACGATAAGAACTTCTTGGACTTTGTGCCAACGGATATCATTCATATGCATTCAGAAAGACTCGATAGCTATCATGGAAATTATGAGGTTGGTTACAATGATACATTGCCAGAATCATAGATGGGAAAGTGTCTGTAAAGTTATTCTATAACTTGGTACAATGAATCAATTTAGACATTTCTCAACTCGATGACCGAAAAATTAAAGAATCAACAACGAGAATATGAAGCCCAAATACAATACCGGGAACATCTTCAGGTAAATAAATTATATTATCAGCCGTAGTAAAATTTTTCTTACAACGATCTAAATGCGGTTTATGTAGCGTTGAGGAAAATCTCACTACCGTCTTTGCAGCTCAATCGTAACTACAATAGTTATAATCGAGAATTCAAGATTGTCGATAGTGTTATATTAGAGTAAAGCATGGCCGTATCTTTCTTAATTTTTTCGTAGTATTTACAGTAGAATCGATAATAAATTTGTTGGGAATTACTTTCAATTCTCCCCCTTTCGCTCGGCATTTATTATTTTTAACTTTTATTATCAATTTCTAGATATTTATTGACCGTTTTCGATGCAACGCTAATAGAGCATCGCAAGTGCAAAGTAAAATAAAAGCCTTAGAAAAATTGTAAGCTTATTTAGTAATACATATATATTATATGATAATTTGCCTAATCTGCCTTAGTGATTTGCTATATCATGATAAAATATTTTTTAAATAGGCCAGTACTAACTCCAGTAAAGTCAGAATCTGAAGTAGTTTTGAAGTAAGTTTATTTGATTAATTGTGGAGAATTCATGATATCCTCACCTAGAAATTTAATTGTCTTTTTCTAAATCCGTAATTTATTTATAACGCTATTACAGATTCCCGATGCCTGACGCCTTATCTCCTCCTATTTTACAGTTGGATGAGGTAGCTATGTTTGCAATCTACTATCGCTCATGCATTATGAAAAGTTATAGCATCAATGACAGCGTTACCATAGTACTATCGTTATTTTGAAAATTTAGTAAGCATAGAAAGTATCAAATATGATATTGTGTACTGATAATGTAGGCTATACGTAAGTAATTCAATAGGGTTCTAAACTGATTTGCAATTTATGAAGGTTACCTTCGGTTATGAAGCTAGCTTACAATTATTTAAGAAGCTAGATTTCTGTGTTACTATGGACTCCAGAATTGCTATTGTAAGTATAAATTGTCTTAGTATAGGATAGTGTGGTATATATGTGCGTTGGCAGCAGTTGAAAATTATCAGTTTTATTTCACTTCTTAATTTGATTGTTGCTACTATTTGATATCGTTATAAGATTGGTGCCAATGGTACTGGCAAGACTACTCTAATTAGATTGTTACTTGGCGAGTTATCTCCAGGAGAAGGTTATAGACGCGCACACCGGTATAGATATATAAATTTTTGTTCATAGAATTTGCATTTCATTTGCGTTAATAACTGTAAAGCGAGAGTAACTGCTTAATTTACTGCTTTTTATTTAACTCTTACTAGTAACTTGAAGGTAGGTTATTTTTCCCAGCATCATGTTGATCAGATGGATATGAAGATGTCTTCTGTTGAGCTTTTACAAGCCCGATTCCCCGGTAAGTGCAACAATTTTGTGTTATACCAATGTGAGTATTGGAAATGGATAGCTACGAGATTATGGAATCACCGCTTGTATACTATCAGCTTGTAGCAATATATCAAATACTATCTCCTAAGGCATATTACATTTACATGATAGGAAGCAAAGCAGAAGAATATAGACGTCATTTAGGTAGCTTTGGTGTCAGTGGAGATCTTGCTCTTCGACCGGTATATACACTTTCTGGTGGACAAAAAAGTCGCACAGCGTTTGCGTTGATGACTTGGAAAACGTATGTTGTGCAACTGTGCTATTATTTGTTTATGATCTAAAGTTTGACTTGATTATTATAGTAAATTTTAACAAGTTATTACATACTGTATATCACTTAATGGCAATTTTTCATATTATGATAAGTCCGCATGTAATTATTATGGATGAACCGACCAATCACTTGGATATAGAAAGTGTTGAAGCTCTGGGTAAAGCCTTGTCAAAGTTCAAGGTACTAAAATTTCTATTTGATATGTTCTGATGCTGATTAATCTGTATCTATCTCATAAATGTTTTGTGAAAATCCAGTACTTACTGTAATCCTTTTCATATCCTACGTCTCAACATGAGTATTAGTATAGGATTTAATCTATATAGCTGATTACGTAATTAGGCTATAGTTTATTTTGTTAATTTAAATTTATTTTATTTTTCGTGTTCTTGTAAATAGGGTGGTGTGGTATTAGTATCTCACGATCAATATCTAGTTGAATCAGTTTGTAACGAATTTTGGACATGCCCTGGGCGTGGTAAATTAAAAAGGCTCGAAGGAGGATTCGCAGAATTTAAAAGGATTATGGAAAAGGAAATCTCTTAGAATTATCACGTTAAAGCTATCAATATTTACAGTTGCTCGTATAATTGCCCTAAGGAATTAGAAATATTGAAGTATAAATTAATCATTCTAATTGTTTTAAAAAATCTTGCTGCATTAGGGTAAGCTTCCAATTCGGATAGCTAGTGGCACCTACGATATACAGCAGTTATTGCTTATAATATGCGCATCTAACTGTAAAATTTACAATTAAAACTTATTTGGAACACACATTGAGTTGAAAGATATTATATGATTTGCAAGCTGTCATGTATTGTGCGGTGTTGTATTGCTTATCTAATACTTGATTCGTAATCTCTGATTATCTGATTGCCTACTATATATTTTTATAAAAATCTTTTCTTTACGAAGAATTTTACGAATATATGTTTCGTATAAATTCGAGATTATTTTACTTATCAAGTTAGGTAAATACTACCCTACATACTGTGTAGAGATTAATATCGAATTGATACTGTACAATGTACATGTTCAGCGTTGCTGTAGTCATAAATTTCGTTGCGGGTGATTGATTTTCTACAATGAAAGCCTAATGCTTATATTTTGAAACATGTATGCTGTTATCATAGCCTGATTGGTTATGATAATTTTAATTGAATGTACAGAAATATCGCAAGAAAACATTGGGATAATTATGAATAAAACCGTATCGATATGCAGTGGACCTGATTGTCTTATCCGTGTCATTATTCTGTCCACTATTTAAAATATAGACGTATTGTTTCGAACACTCGTATATGATAAATGCACATCATACACTCATATATATCTAGATAACACTACATTTCATCGATTTGAAATGTAAACGTAAGAACATGAAAATTGCTTTATGGTAGCGGTAAACAGTTACTGCCTATCCATGTACAGTGTACACTTTGTCTAGTCCTGACCTATCAACAGTTGAGGAATCTTAAATTCTGATTTTAGAGGCTTATTGGATATGAGTGAAGATAAGCAAATATGTATTCTCTTTTTATTTACGCTTCTTTGATCCGATTCCATATAATATTGTATACGTATATTCCGTAATTATATACTCGCATAAATTCGTATATAGTCCTATATTGCATAAACTATATATCAATGCTGACCACCTACAGTATATGCAGTAATACCGTTCTAAGGGAATTTCGGCACTATAGTTCATTTTTTCAAAAAAAGCCCGGACGTCAAGATGATCGGACTAACAGAAGATGCTGTACTGAAAAAGCGGTACGGCACTAGTTCTACCCAGCTACCACATCACTATGCGCTATGCAGTGCAGTTCCATGCAATATTGTACGTTGGAGAGCTCATACTAGAATATGAGGAGAAATTTAGATGTAACCGTTTGATTTCCTTTCTATAGCTAGAGTAAGTTACTTCATCATCAAAAATTTCAAAAATAGGAAGGTAAATTGTAACTAGGTAAGCAGATAGCTTATCATTTAAACTAGGTTGTAAATTTCCAAGTTGTAGATTTAAAATTGCGCTTGCTGTGCTCTAATTAATCGATGATTTAGAACTCTGTCTTATTATTGTAAACAATATATTTACTACATTCTCCTATGATTCTAGATATTATATAAACACAGGTCTTTTTCTCTTGCTGTTGTAAATAATGTTAGAAGAATGATTGAAGAACAGATTACTAATTGACACTACTGATATATTAATATAGGTCGTTTGTTAGGTATCGAAAGGATACACATGTATTCTACGATTTGCTAAGTAAAGGTAATAAGATATGGCAGAGCAGTTAAATGATGAGTATGTCAGTGTCGGATCGCTAGATCTTATTCGTGGCAGGAGAGCGATTAAAGTTACTGTAAATAACCGAAATTTAGCAATCTTTAATTGCCGTGGTATACTCTATGCCATGGATCAGCAATGCTATCGTAAGTTATAGAATCATATTAACTATGACTATGTCGTATCTGTATATTGTAAGCGATAATACTACCCTATACCCTACACTTTGTGTGACAATTCAGTCTGATCTTAATTGATGCATTCATTCATTCATTAACAATAAATTATCTTGACATCTACATTTATGATTTTTATATCGATTACAATTGGATAGTTGCTTATTATATGACCCAGCTTGCCGATATAAACTGTATAAAATATATATCTTATAAATGCGATAGTGCTGATTACGCCTTATTGATTTTCAGTGATGATTCTAGCTTGAATGCTTTAAAGTTTTAACTTTATATTATTCGATAGTGTAATTTTCAAGTTGATCGTCAATATTAGAGCATTATATGAACGCAAATTTTACCACTGATCAAAGATCTTGCTGCAGTAGTTAGCAGTCGGATCTGGAAAAATTGATAAAAAAAATCCAGTCCGTTCTCTGTTGTCTTCAGTACTTATAAAGTAGTAAAAGGTGATAGACACTTATAATAATTATTGTTGAAAGTAGATACATAATTTTAGCTGATTTTTCGCATTGTTCTATATGAAGATTGATACCCTTATAAGTTACAATAGTTTTATTTTTTCTTGTACCGTCAATATTACACCACTACAAAACATTTCAGTAGAATGAGCGTTTTGCACTTAATTATGTTAAATTGGAAATCATACAAGTCGTAGGCTTAATTTTTAAAGAAATTGTTTATTTACTTATTTAATACCCTTAAAGACACTGGAGGGCCACTGGACATGGGCGATATCGAGGTAGGTAGGATTATCGCACTTTATCGATATAAATTGTATGAAATAGATATCAGTTAAGGATGTGTGAATTAATACGAAGTAGAATTTGGCTGTTACCTGTGGTATGATATTTTTTAACATAATATTTAGTGCTTTTGCACCAAAGTGCTGACATAGTATACTGTGAGACCAAGGAAGATACTTAGTAGTTAATTCATCGATGAAATAATCCGTACTAGTGTGTATGCTTACCTACTTCAGCAAAATGTCTCATGAAAACCAAGTCTAATTTCACACTTGATATGTTTAATAATGTATTATATAATTCACTTTAAGGGACTAAAGGTTATAATAATATCTTAATAGTGTTCCTTAAGGAAGGTTCTACGTAAGAAATTTCAATATGTAAAATATTTTGCTTAATAATGTAGGAAATTGGTGGTCGTGTATGTATTCGTTGCCCATGGCATCGTTACGTGGTAGCTCTGGATAATGGTGAAGGTTTATTTGTTAATGAAGGGAAGATAAAGTCAAAAGGCTTGAAACAACGTGTTCATGCAGTCAAAGTTGAGGAAAATTCCATTTGGGTTAAGTTATCTCAATTTCCAGAAGAAGTTCCCTCTGATTATTACCAATCCGAAAAATATCGAGCAATTATGGCATCAGCGGGTGTATCTATTCAAGTACCAACTCTCAAGAAAAATTAAAACCTAATATTATAAATATGAAATAACGTACAAATAATATGTTACTTCATTTATAGCTATACTTCATGCTTTACATTTGTTGTTAGAAAGAGAATATGTAAGTTGTTTTGGAAGCAGGATACGGCATTGCCATATTTGTAACTGAAGATACCTACTGTATAAGGACTTATAAATCAGTATGTAGTGCGGTAAACGACAACAGCAGAGCTTAAGGATAAAGTTGAACACGTACTTTATCTAATATGAATGTTTTAGCTAGCCCCTATATCACAATACCATCATTGCGACCCAATATAGTAGTGAAAGCAGATTTATTAATTTATTTTAAAATTTTTATGGTCAAGTTAGGTTTTCAATTCGTTACGATAAGTAGACTGATGATGAGAAATTTAATAGATGTGCTTGTAGCAGCAGCATTTCTACAGAGTGAACCCCTTCTTATCAAATGTTGGTTATATTATTGTCAATATTTTGAGTATTTATGTGATAACTAAAACTCAAGTGGAAATATTTAATATTGAACACGACATTGGCAATCTCTTGATAATTATAGCTGTGCCGAAATTCAATTGGATTATTACTTGTACGTTTCATATAAAGATAGTGGTCTCCCTTATTTACGCTAAACTTTGTGGTTTTCAGTTATGCATGTGTGGACATTCCTTGTGTGAATTTTATTTCAGTTATTTTCAATCTTTACTATATCAATAAACCTTCGATTTTAACATCATTGTCTTTTGTAACTAAAATTATTGTACCTAACGGTGACCATAATGTATTTGAGTGTGAACTACAGTAGCATCTCTTATATGCTTATAACTAATGAACCGAGTGTATTGAATTGCTACAATAGAATCTCCAATTTCGAAGACGTACCGTACCACTCAATGTATAAATGGGAGAGCAAGATTAATCATGCATTGATAATTTCTAAAAATTGATAAGTTACCGTTAGCAATAAACTGACTATAAAACTATTGGATATTTATCTGAAAGTTTATTGATTATTGTATGAATCCGTAAGCCCATCGCCATCTGCAAAATTTCATTAGCATTTTCAACCCCGATACGCGTAAATGGCATACCAAATTTTGACAATTGAATTTATATCCTTTTATTAGCAATTTCCTGCATCCGATATTTCACAGGATACTTCAAAGCAATAGCAAAATGAATTAAAATTAGAAATACAAGCAAAAGAGTGTGCTATCATAGAATAAACACAGCCTTTTATCGTTGCTTTTACATATTATTTAAAACTTTGCCTATGATACATTACAGAGATTCATTTATTCTTCCATGTCAATTATTCTAGAGATGTGTAGCATATGGCTACAAGATATAAAAATTCTATTCTGCTAGTTTCAATTATTCATAGCTGAGGATAAAAGTTGGAAATTTGTAGCTATTGACCAAAATGTGCTTTAATACAATGATAGACTAGGTCTGCAGCCAATAATATAATCAGTTGCCACTGCGGGCATAATTTTAGTCAAAAGAATATTACAGTATGCTGTACAATCCATACGTTGTATCCCTTCCATTCTTCATTTCATATTAGTAATGGCCCGTTTGCAACACTAGCTGTACATTACAACCAAACATAGCACCCATTAATTTTTCAGCATAACCAACTAAGAAATAAATTCGACTAATTTGATCGCGTGGAACAACAAATAAGGCTACAATAATGGTGTTGAGCTTGCGTTTAATGACGACAGTTTGACGCTTGTGATCGAGGAAAGGTAGGAAAGTACCGCGAATAAAAGAACGAATCATTAAATCATCCGTGATGCGTTCTCGTGTCCATTGTCGGCTACCACTAATACAGCCAGTATTTTGTGATTCGGAAGCTACAGTAACGCCATAACGATATGGTCGAATTCGCTTGTCGAGGTTAACACCTCGGGGTGGCCTTTTGGCTTTGGTCCCTAGTATTATAGGGGTGGTAGCAATACCAGCACGTTGTAATCCACTTGGAGCATGGATATTCTATAGTGTGACAATAGAAATGGGATCCTTTAGTCAATTTCTCTATTTAAAAATTGTTTTGCATAGCAATAAGCGATAGCACTTACATTCAGACACTTTTGAAAGCAACAAATTAGATTTGAATTTGTCCTGCACAGTCTTGGAGTCGCCATGACCTTGCGTGTGCTCAACTTTAAATGTGTACAACGATACTACTCTACTGTACAGTGTACAGTACAGTGTACAGTACTGTACTGTACTGTAGGTTACCCAGTGTCGAGATTTTGTTCGCACAGTACTGTACTTGTATTTGAAAGCCCCATGGACTACTAGATGAAGACCTGGACTGGACTGATCATTCCCTCAGACAGACGGACTTTTCTTACTAATGAAGACTTTATTTCGCGCAACCGCTATCGTACAGTAGTACTGTGGACGTTCGCCAGTTTTAATGAACGAACGTACGAACGTCCAATTTGAACGTCGGACGTTCATTGAACGTACCAACGTACACAGTGTACAGTGTTAACACTACAGTATATAGTGTACACTGTACTGTACAGTACGGTATAAGACTATACTATACTGTACACTGTACATACAGTACAGTAGTACAGTACGTAACAGCGTACAGTATACTGTAGTCATGACTCTGAAATACAAAGTGTTGTAAAAGAAGTTTGTACTACTGTACTGTATGTACAGTACTGTACAGTACTGTATAGTATTGGGGTGGGATTATACAAACTGACTGTATACACTGTACTGTACACTGTACACTGTACAGTACAGTTCGTCGACGTCCGATCTGACAACGAACGTACATACCGAACGTCCAAAATCGAACGTCCGTTGGACGTCCAATCGCTCGACGTCTACAGCACTATCGTACAGCAGTTGCTATAAGAATAAGAATAATAATACAGTATATCGAAAAATGGGTCCCTGTACTACTTACTGTACAACTTAGCAAGGATCTTCCGTGTCTGTTTTCTAAATCACTGGTACTAATTTAAATAACATCTACGATCTTACAGAACTCTTTCCAAGCAGAATTTAGTAACAGATTCAACGTAATATCACTTAATTTAAAAAAAAAAAAAATCATTCAATTTAAAATCGATCGTCTCTATACTAAAGAGTACTGTCAATGGCTACAGTATACTGTACAGTACAGTACTGTGAAAGGGTAATACCGTACACTGTACTGTACTAGGGACTAGAGTACTGTAGTCGTTTCGGACCACACTCGACTCACACAGTCAGACTCTTTCGGCGGTCATGCGCACTAGGGAACTCCGTCCGACGTGAATCTGTGATACTACGATCCGTCCAGTAGGTCCGAGTAGTGCTACACTGATTGATGAGCGTTAGTAAGCTTTTACTCCACAACTGAAAAGATCTTCTCAAATCCAAAGAGATCCCACTAAAATTAAATAGTCAAGACAAGGCTGTGAATAACTGACTTTCTTCAATTGTACATTTTATTGAACAAATCAATAATGCCTATCATCAACATTAAACGGGATTTACTCTTCAAGGCGTTGCAAAAGGAGTACAGTAAGTATTGGACTTGATAATGCCTATTGGACAGTTTTTATTACTTTATTATTATGACCCAGTTGCACATGTCATTGTCAATGAATAGATATGCTACTGTACCTTAGACAGGCGATTTAAAATGGATGAAAAAACTCTAAAAAGAATAGTTGATCACTAGTTTAGTAAGTGGTCATGATCAATAGCCGATAGGTAGTATTAAACTTAGTATAATAAAATACTACTTTAAAAAGACTGTATTATGGTAAGATTGACAGTCGATGGCTTTTCTCTGAATGGGTGTCAAAGCCCTCCCCAATTTTCAACTATGATATAGTCAACTGATGTGGAATAGACAACTTTCAAGTTTCAACTGATGTACATATTGTCTGCTTTTTCTTAGCTGATGACAAGTTTGCCGAGGTTTGCTTTGAATACGGTATCGAATTGGATGAAGTGGTAAGAATGCGCTGTTAGGATGCTTATTTTAGTGAATAATAACTCAATGAATCTCATGTCCATGTAGAACACGGTATAGCTCGCCTTGTACGGTACTTAGTGGTGTTGTGCAGACACGATAGATTAATGATAGTGATAAATGCGATGGATTATCATCAATGCAATGATAGTCATCAGCTAGTGTAGCGTTATCAAAGGAAATAATAAATAGCGTTGGCTCTTTTTATGCTATATCTCATGCTACCTTCACTTCATTAATTATTAACCATCACTGGATACCATCATCGGCTACTGATATGAAAGACTTCCGAAAAGGATATAATAGCACGTGAACAGGGTGAGGATAAGGCTGCTAATGCTTCGGAAGATGTCATTTATAAAATCGAAATTCCAGCTAATCGGTACGTTCAAGTCGAAAAGATAACATTGGTATCATCAATGTCTAAATCGCATAGGCGTACTAAAATCCTTTGTTGTTGAAGTTTTGCATTACATTCTGTACTGTATAGTAACAATCTATCATGTTCTTGTCTTATAATTAATGCAAGTGTGCAAACTTATTATACGAGTATAACGGTCTGATTGACATCCTACAAATTTTTAGGTATGATCTACTCTGTATTGAAGGATTAGTTCGCAGCTTGCAAATTTTCTTTGAAATGTGAGGAGGAGACTGAATTCATACTTTACAAATTGCAATAGTAATAATCTACTAGCGTAGAATGATCAAAATTCAATTTTCATCTATATAGAGTTCCTTCGCCAACATTCACGAAAATTATCCCCGAGAATCGGGAAAAATTATACATCAAACCTGCTGTAAGCCTTATCTTATCATTAAACAACAAGATTCATCATAACTTGCAAACTACTTACTGCCATTCTTCATCTTCAGACTGCCAAAGTACGTCCGCACTGCGTTGCTGCTATTTTACGAAATGTAACCCTAACATCGGTACAGTGTCTACATTTATACGCTTAAAAACGACTACGCGGCTCGTATATCAATCGCTGACTCTAATTCACTTTTCAGGATACATATAGCAGTATGATAGATTTGCAAGAGAAATTACATCAAAATATTTGCAGGTATATTATATACTTGAAATCATAATAGTTTGCGATTAAAGATTAAAGACTTCGAATTATTCTTTAGCCCAAATAGTAAACCGCAATCACAATTGACAAAAATTTAATATCATTTTGTTAAAAGTCTTTGACTATTTGATTACGCTAAATTATGATCAATTTCTAACACGACAAATATATTAGACGGCGAGCTCTTGTAGCCATTGGTCTCCACAATCTCGATACTGTCCAAGGGCCTTTCTATTACGATGCTAAAGCACCAGAAGATATCAAGTTTAAACCACTTAATAAGGTCTTCAAAACGGAGCTAGTTTAATTAATGTTAAATTTAGTGGCTAATCGTCACTTTAATATGCTACTAGTATGTATTAGTATCATAATTATCGCATACACAATATCTGACTCTGTATGCTAAATATTATAACTGCATTTAATTTTATAATAAATATTTTTTTTACATTAATTATCAATCATAGGACAAAGAATATACAGCTGCAGAGTTAATGGAGTTATATAAAAGTGATGGCCATTTGAAGCATTATCTACATATTATAAAAGATAAACCAGTTTATCCTATTATTTATGACAGTAACGGAGTTGTTCTGTCCATGCCGCCTATCATTAATGGTACCTAAATTTATCATTCTGTTTGCTTTAGTACTTTCATTGTATGAATTTATCACTTAAATTTATACCGAACCCTACTAGGTGAACATACTAAACTTAGTACAAACACTAGAAATATTTTTATCGATGTAACAGCAACAGACTTAACCAAGGCAAGTAGACTGTCATTTTTTTCTGGGATTTTTCCATTACAGCTTTAACCGTATCTTCAGTATTCGTACAACAGAGTTTAACCTCTTTAATATTGTGCTATTTACGTCTAACTACAGGCTAAAATCGTGCTGGATACACTAGTAACAATGATCAGCGAACATTGTGGTCAAAAATACAGGTTCGATTCACAGTTTTATTTTATATTTATATTAATGATTAGTGCAGCTAATCGCAATATATTTGATGTTGCTATTATTAGTGCTGAAGTAGTAGATGTTATCCAACCGGATGGGAAAGTAGTAACGTATCCGGTAAGTTTTGTATTACAATAGAGAGCTCCACAGATTAAAGAAATTTAATAAATCATTATTACATTCCTATTTGTATTGGCTACTTGTAATGGTAGGAATTAACGACAAGACATGAAATTATAAGTCTGAAAGACGTTTATTCCCTTGCAGGAATAAGGTAAATCGCTGATGATACCAGTATATTTTAGTTTTGCTTACACTACTAGGTCGCAATATTAAACTTGAAAATGATTAAATTTTGTAGTCTGGATACGGAAAAGATTGCTAAACTGTTAACAAGAATGTCATTGTCAACTACAGTGATAAACGAAAAAGAAGTTAAAGTTGAAGTGCCTCCTACACGTCATGATATCCGTTATTATAGAATTTATAACTTAAACTCGTAAAATTGAAGTTACGTTGAGAATCCTGCAAATGCATTTCATTAATAGGACTTGAGTTGCCCTTAGCTATTCATAAATATACTGCATCCATGTGATATCATTGAAGATATCGCAATTGCTTATGGTTACAACAACATTCCTCGCAGCATGCCAAAATCCAGTACTATTGCTCAAGAGGTACTTTTCATATCTATTAAATATATTTCGATTTCTTAGCACCATTTGCTTCTCTAAAATATTTTTTATGATTGTTAGTTTCCAATTAATAAACTTTCCAATCTACTACGCCAAGAAATTGCTCAAGCTGGCTTTACCGAAGCTTTAACATTTACACTGGTAATTTAAAGCTCTATACAATAGAATTTACTTGATTAAAATTATCATATTAGTTATAGTAATGAAGGACGTACTATTGGGTTAGCTGTTAAACGGCATTATTAGCCGGTAATTATATTGTATTGAAACACTGTAGTGTTCACGAGATGATGTATCGGAAAAATTAAATAAGAACTTAGCATCAAGTAAAGCTACTCACATATCCAATCCGAAAACCCAAGAATTTCAGGTATGTTTATTTTAATCATACTTTCTGCATTATGACTACTGTTATTGAAAGCGCACTCTGGCTTATCCTTAATAGGTTGTTAGGACTACACTGTTACCTGGATTATTAAAAACGGTAGCTAGTAATCGTAGCATGTCTCTTCCGCTTCGTTTGTTTGAAATTGCTGATGTTGTAATAAAAGACGATAAAACTGGTAATTATAAGTATTATGGTTACTGCTGCTGTATGTTTAAGAAAATAAATGACAGTGATTCTATTTTGATGTTCGTGGAAGATACGGGTGCAAGAAATGAACGTCGTCTTTGTGCTCTATATTATAACAAATCTCCAGGATTTGAGGTTGAATATACTCATAAAAGAAAACTATGCTTTACTTATTTCTTCTACTTATATTTTATGTAAATTCGACTATATTGGAAAAATCTTATAGATTATACATGGCCTAGCAGATAGATCTATGCAATTGTTAGGCATTCCCTTTGGAAAAAGTGATAAAGGATATTACATCAAGGGTGCTGACGGTATATAACTCTTATATAATAAACATTTTTATGAAAAGTTACTTTAATTAAATGATATATTTGGAGTAACATTCAAAAATTATAGTAAACAAATATTTGAAAGAGTATAGTTATTTGTAGCTAGAAGCTAAATTAATTTGGAATTACTGAATGAATTGTTTTTATATGAATAGATCCACTCTACTTTCCTGGACGCGGTGCAGATATCATTGTGCATGGTAATCGTATTGGTTCACTCGGAGTATTACATCCGGACGTTATATCAAAATTTGACCTGAACATGCCGTGTTCTGCGTTGGAGTGTAACATCACTGACTTTTTATAAACAAAAAACCTCTAAGACATTCTAGAATAGTGGCTGCTATTGTAGCTTCTTTAGCTACCAGTACCTGTAGTAGTGACAGTGTGAAAAATTGTAGGCATCTTTATTGTTACAGATCCATGATTCATGTTACTTAATTTAAATACTTAAATAATAAACATTTTGGTTGTAAAAAATTAACGCATGTGTTATTGTTATCAAAAAGATCTATTTTTTAATTGTCTACTTACCGTTACGTCAGTATTAGGCTTCAAGTAATGCTTGTTTATTGACGTCTGTTTGCAATTTGTCATTTACAGATAAAATGAACACGTAATCATAATATTAATTATTCAGTGTTATGTATAGTGCGTATGCCTGCAATTTTATGTTGTTGCTGGCCCAAAGTAATTTTACGTTTGTTAACTTCTCTCGGTCTAACATCATGTATCACATATTAAAAGGTATTCCTACAACATTAGTACTCTGCTGGTCTAAATAGTTTTTCTTTGCTAACACCCTGTTTGCCCGTAAATCACGTATCATATCGAAAGTATCGTTTATATTATCCCAATGAAAGCTATACATAAATAATTAGAACACTACATTATAATTGAGTTGCATATATTGATCTTAAATAATCCTGTAACTAAGTGATTTTTTTGTACTTCGAGATACCCTTTTATTATCATCTGGTGATGACTACAAGGCAAGAAAAATGTTGACGCACGGGCCTGTTCTTTAGGCTATGCTAGACATAGCTAACATTAATGCATTGTCATGACACTATTAGCGTGTAATAAAAATTAGACGGTTCCTATATAAACAGGAATGTTTGATTTAAGTTGTGTGGTGAAAAGTTGTAGATGTGTCTATGCTAATAAAAGTTCTATCTTTATGGTACTTCGCTGTGAGTGTTTAAGGTTTAGCAAAAGGGGGTTTAAGTCAGTAGTTACTTATAGACTTTTACTGTACGTTTCCTTGTAGTAGAGTTTAAATTGTAACAATCATGTAATAGTTTCTTAACACTATAATTACGATAGCACTTAATACACGAACGTATCAATTGGGTGTTAGCTCTTTTCGATCGATCTACAGCATTACCTTATTATATAATTTCAAAAATACAATGGATGCTCATAAATTGTATATATTAACTTGCTGTAGTAATTTAAATTGCAAATCGCCATAAGTATAATTACTTCGGGATCAATTTAGGTTAAGTGATGGTTAGAGTCCAATATACATCGTTACACGTTATTTTATATGCAATCAACACGGCCACAATGAAATATCATATTGACAAGTATAACGAACTTAATTATTAACATAGGATAATAAAATTGTTAACAAAACTTATAATAAATGCATGATTGATCAATTATTGGATATATTTACAGAGCTAAATGATAAAAAAATACCTAAAAATTTAATCATTTTAATAATAGTATAAATTAATGATAATTTTGAAATATCAAAAGGAAAAATAATAATAACTGTATGGACTAACATTGAATTGGTAAGTAATCCTGTGAATAGCTATCAATTCCTATCATACGTCATGAGCTTCTTTAGGTTATGTAATTATTTAGGTCAGAAGAACACCCACAGTGAGGTTCTAAGCAGAGTTGTACAGGGGCACTAATTTGGTCGGCGAACTTATAACTTTAGTGTTCTCGTTGTTTGAAAAGGTTAATTTGTTACAATTAGTGAAATCATTAGTCGATTGCAAATACTATTCAGTTGATAAGAGATTTGCTAGTTTTATTTCCATAACTTTAATTCTATCTTTTCATTCGAGTTCAATATCAGGTAATCGCACTCAACAGTTTTCACATTGTAAGCGATAGACGACAATATGTAACCGGCCCATGGTTGCTATCAATACAAAAAAAGCGAATATAATCAATGCCAATGCTACTTTGTACTTTGATCGATCTCATTTGTTATTCTTTATAACAGTCTTTATTATTTGCAATTGTTGTGCATAGAATAGTGATTTGCGATGGAAAACAATATTATGATAATTAAAGCTTCATTATTATTATATTATACTATAATGATTGTGTAATTGAATAGCAAATTTACCGTTTGAAAAGAATTGAAGAAATTCAATCAAGTGTCAAACTGCAGTTGCTAACAATATCTACTATGCAGTTGATATTGAATTCGGCGCTTTAGATTGGTCTATTATTAATTAAACGTGCTATTCCCATGCCCTTTAGTAGCCATTTGTTTACAACTGAAAATAGAATGATCGCTTTCTCATGACCTTAAGCTACTGCAGCTAAGGCTCCTTTCTAATGAAAGAAGAGAGGCGAGCGTTTTATGCTTTTTTTATTGTATTGTCGCTATGGTACGCTACTCAGTGATAATCAATGGTACCCATGCTGCCAACTTATGTACAATATCAATGTAGCGACATTATTAGTGAGTCACAACTGTAATTAAATTTAATGTTATTTTTGACTTCTTTTTAAAAATTGGTTCGTAAACGTGTGATATCGGTACTTGTGATTCTGGAGTGACCTATCCCTACGCATTTCGCAGCTCTATTAAAATTTACCACCTAAGTCAACTATTTGTCAGTCTTCGAGATGATTGAACAATAGTTGGATATGAATATTTAACAGGTGATCATTATTTAGCTGCGTGCCGATCGGCCCATCCTATGGAATGTTATTTATGGTAAACAAGATTATAGTGCTAAATCATAAAACAAGCTGATTATATTTTCGATAGTTGTAAAAATCAGACAGTACAGCGTCTGGAAAATTCGAGCACGTCTGGTTGGCTAGTTCAGATCGTTAACGTCGGGCATTTTTATTCCATTTAAATTTTTCTCCTATCTTACCGATCTTAATGTAATTCAATTAGTTTTATCAAAATTATTGGATAATAAGAAGACTACGCCGATATCGGAAATCGAGTACGATGTCCGATCCACCATGGATACATTCATCGGTTAAAGTAACTTTACTAGCAGTTGTTTTGCTAGTCTCATTAATGTTAAATTTACCTGTTTTGTTAGCATTCGTTAAAAAACCGCAAATCATAGAGGATGAAAATCGCTACAGATTTATCCGAACTCAAGTAGTAATTAATTTAGTTTGTACAGTGCTTTCTCTACCGCTATCTATCGCCGTAATTGCCGCCAATAGATGGCCGTTCGGTTGGATATTTTGTAGTATTTACGGTTATAGCCACCAATTTTTTGCATTACTTTGTATAGCTATTGTAGCCATTATCTCTATTGATCGATATATAGCCATAGCTTTGCCTTATCGTCATACTTTCCGATTTACAACGCGTAAAAGTAATATAGCAATTGTCCTTACTGCACTGATTTGTGCAATTTTATCTTTACCGTCGTTATTAATTAGAATTTTTATTGTTTCACCGACCTTCGAAACATGCACATTTTACTATCCGGTTTATTGTCAAGGTACACCAGAAGATTATAACTGTATCAATATAACCAATAGTGATAATAATAGTTTTAATGCCAGTATTGCTACTAATTTCAATATTCGTGCGATCTTTGCTTACTCGATAACTTGTACTTGTATATACTACGTTATACCTTTTATATTTATTATCGCTGTCCATGGTTACATTTTGGTTATCGCTAATCGTCATCGTCGACCTAATATGGAACCAAATAACAGCCAAACAACGCTAATAAATCACCAAGGTGATAAAAGAACAAGTCTTTTTGATGACAACGTGAGCAATCGTATTAATCAAAATAATCAGAATCAGGATAATAACAGTAATGGCCGACCGAGAACTTATTCAGACAGTAGCGTGTTCGATAGCCAAAAATGTGGTGGGCGTAAAGATTCGAATACTGATGATTCTTTCACTACAGATGCCGATATTCGATCAATTCGGCATCCTAGTATAAATTCCATTCGGCGTCCTAGTATAAATTCTATTCGGCGATCAATCTCTCGACGAAAACAAAGTATCGTCAGTAATGTTAGTATGATTCGATTGAAAATATCCAGACATAAAGCTGCTAAATCGTTGGTCTATGTTTCGTCAGCGTTTGCCTTGTGTTTAACAGGCTATTTTGTAGTCTTGATTTTAGATATGACATGTACAGGTCCAAATCGTGTATATGTCAGCAACGATGTTAAGTTTATCACTTACTTTCTGATGTCTTTAACATTTCTTGTCAATCCAATTATTTATGCATATAGCAGCAAGAATATCGTGAAAGAGATTAAACGACTTCTCAAGATGAGTGATAATAAAGTTTCTCCAAGTCAAACACTAGCATCCAGGCAATTTAGTCAAAACGCAGAAGGTCGGCGTTTATCTATTCCAGCAGATATTTCATGCAGTGATAATTTTACAGTTAATAATGCTGATATGATGAGCAAACCTACAAGGATACCTAATGTATCGGTTACTGGTACAAGACCACAACGCACTCCAAGAATTGAATCGAATGTAATAAAACCTAGCCTTTCTGGTGGTAAATTACAAGATTTACCAGAAAATGAAGAGTTAAAATTGACTGAAAGATCAGAGAAGATCTTTCGGTCAGTTTCATTTAGTTTCGGTGATGCAGCCACGATTAATGCTAAAAGGCAACGCGCTCAGCGTATGGCTAACAGTAAGAAAGGACTCGGTGGCGATAATTTACCTTCTCTAACACCAAATCAACCTAACTTAAATGATGTCTACAACGAGTTAAGACCGCGAGCTGCTACTTTTGTCTTCAACGACGATAGGAGATCATCCAATACGTCGACAGTTGATGATGATTGCTCTAGCACTGCTACACTTTTAAAACGCGAAGCTGGAGGCTCGATTAATGGATCATTTTCAAGCTGGGATAATGAAAATGATGGTGTTTCGTCAACCTCAACTGATCGCTCAACGACTACGTTATTACCATTAGTCAGTGTTAGTAATGAACGAAATACGTCGATAGGCACCACTAAGACATTGAATATCGAAGATTTGAAGACACCATCACGTAAAGCTTTATCATTACAACCGTTGATGAAAAGTTAGAAATGGTATGAATATTTTCCTTCTCATTTTTGGATTCTTTCGATCTCATTTAAATTTTAACACTACCCTCTCTTGGTGTATATTTCTATTTCTATGAACTAGTAGTTAAAAAGTGTAATCGATTTTATTTGATATCTAAAATATACGGTTTTCATACCTCGTTAGTTTGGAGAGTTTTAACAATTGTGATTTTATTGTCATGATAATCACGACAATTCCTTCTTGATGCTTTAGTCTAAAGCACTGTATATATCTATTGAAAGAAGTATGCCCACTCTGTAGTTGTATCAAATCATGGGCTACTAGTAAGTCTTCGTAGCATTCCATGATCAAACTTAAGTGGTAAATTTTCTATTTTTTTTTCACAGTAATAAATGAAAATATTAATGATCAAATACAACTATACATGTATAATTATTGAGCAGTGATACAATAGATGAAGGCTCATTAGATGCTAAGTTGTAAATTCTGAAATTTCTACATTCCTATTTGTATATTGTTGTGATTTTCATTTCAATTTCTGACAAAAAGATATTATTAATCGTGCTCTACAATATTATAATTTCAAGACCTGTATAATTTCTTGATACTGTAAAAATTATTAAATTTAATCATTGCTTATTAAGCAAATATAAGTACTGATAATAGTATTAATTATCTGATAGTGAGTGAAATCCTATCAACGTTATAGTTTGAATATGAATATTCAAGATATTGCTTTGCTATTTGTAATAAATTGACGCTTTGCGAACATTGAAAGTAAATAACGTCTATTTGCGGAATTTTAACTGTGGTAGAACCAGTTTTGCAGCAATAAATTCAATTTTACATTCGATATAGTATTGTTTAATTTCGAAGGCATTACGTTTATAAAGTTACTTCTTGTAGTGTAGCTATCTCTACTCCTAAATTGATCACGAAGTTGATAATACATAATTATTGCTAGAAACGATACTTGTTGACTTTTTCAATTATCATGCCTTAATAACTATCCTTTATACTAAAGGATTGTGTAACAGTTTATACCTTTCGATCCCAATGTGGCAATTAACCAAATTAGTTTTTGTATTTGCGTACCACAGTTTTATAAATATTTATTACTAATTTTGATAAGGTTAAATTATTATACATGTATGTATACGACTACAAACGTACAGTATATATATTTATTTAATACAATAAAGGAGAAATTAAAGTTAAACCTTCCTTAAACACAAAAACTTCGAACAAAAATTGGAGTGCTAACCTATTTCGTAGATTGTTACAATTATTTAGAACGGTTTTAATTTTCACTATCGTAATGTGGAAACTATAAAAACTTACGTATATATTATATATTGTATAATATATTGGAAAGAAACCACCATGTAAAACTATACATTAGATACAATAAGAGTATATGTATACATGTAAAATTTTTAGATCTTTATCGACATTTGATTTCATGAAACATTTCTGATGCAATAAGTAATAAACTGTAATAATGTACGTTAATCTGAGCAATAAATCCTTTAATATAGTACGAAATATTTTTACCATATCGAATCTAAACAGTTACAGAAACTGTACAATATCCAGATTTTAAGCAGAACTAGCATACGATAAGACTCGCTAACCAGATAAATGCTATAAGTAACAATACATTTTTTGCAGTGTTATTTGCAAAAGCAGTAATTAGTAACGTCTGCTATGGGTGTTATTATTGTCAAAGCGAACATGCCTTGAGCTGTGGCTATGAAAATTATCCTGTTCTCTACCACCACCACGCGGTGGAGTTGGTGGTACGTACTCTTTGGAAGCATTTAAGGGCGCTTTCTTATGCAAGCGATTAGGTCTTACTTTCTCAGTGCCTGGCAAACCTCGATGAATACCTTTCCGTTGATGCCTATGATTACGAATTGCGGGTGCGTGCGCTTCAGCTTTTGTAGCCTGTTGCCATTCTCTATCAAATGTTTCGGCATCCTCTAGATTATGCAATAACAAATGTTTTACAGTATTACTTGAAGCTATAATCATAGTCATTAGGAATGAGAGAGTCATGAAGCTACTTGATAATTTCAATTTATAACATTGATTACCTTCAGTAAGATTGACCAAATTCTGTACATGTTCATGAGAGCCAGTTTTCATATTCCTCGCATCTTCGATGGTATGGCTTCTATCGCCTACGGTTAAAACATATTCGTATTGAAGTGCGCATATAATAGTAATTTTGAGTGCCATAATCAAAAGCTTAAAAGGGTAGTAGTACAGTATAGTATAGATAAGACTAGACTTTATCTCTTATTTTCCATTACCAATGTGATGTCCAATTGCCATTTTATGTAATCCGCTGGCTGAATCTTTTACTGTTCTTCTAATTTTCTTTATCTATAACAGGGATGATAAGTTTATGAAAGTTACAGCTACTTTATTGACATCAACTGTGATCGTATACTTGCGGAACACCAGCTATACTGTACATGATACTATTGCTAGTAAGCTCAGCATCTACTAAATTAAATTGTATGCTTACACCATTAGGTAAAGAATGGGTACTACTAGAGGCTTGATAAATCTGCGGTTGACCATCGCCGCCATTGCTTGAGTAAGTCATGATTGATGAAGACGAAAAAGTGTGGCAGTTTGCATTTCTTTCTAAATTTCGCTATAATTGATAAAATGGATAAAAGCTTGAAGTTGAAACTCTACCCAGCTATAGTATTACATTCAATGGTGATAATGTTATAAGGCTTAATTAAAGGATGAACTATTCCAAGCCTGACAATTTAACAATTACACTTATCAACTTACGAAGTCATTCATTGGCGAATGCATTCCTAGTAGTGAATTATGAAAAGGAGCCATCATATTATTCATCATATTCTCCATTGCCATGAAAGGGTTATTCGGCTGAAAGTACAATACGACAGCGTGAATTTTTTAAAGAGTGCCTATGTAAAAATACGTATATATCTCTATGGATTTGGTTATGATTTATCTCGTAATCTTTTGGCGAAAAGAATTAGTCAATCTATTGCAAGTCCATGTATTCGTTTTGGGTTGCCTTATTTAGTATTAATGGAAAAGGGTTTTTACATTGAGTTGTACTGTGTAGAGTAGATTAGTAGGCTTGCAATGTGTTGACTGTCAAGAAACACTTTATGACTTGTACAGTATGATAAAATCGACAGCACCGCACTAATATTATGTATTGTAGGTCCGAAGCTAGCATAAATTAAATTAAATGGTTACGTTCAATTCAAATCTACCCCATGAGCAATTTTTGAGATAGCTAACGTAAACACGATGAAGTATTGATAGTGTAGACCCCTGCATTAACGTTAGTCTGTTGCATCCATTGCTTACATAACACGTTGATAATAATATTGATATCGATCTAGGAATTGATTCGTATATGGCGCATCAAGAAATTACTTAACCCTTGCCTACCGTATACATTCTCCCAAGTGAGATAGTGAAAATGGAAAAAAAAATTCTTGCAATAACAAAATCAGTAACCTGTTTCGGGGACTCTGCTCTTCCTACCAGACTCAAGAGTCCAATATCCCCGATACTCAACAATCGACATTCAAAGAATGACTTCTTTAGTAGTCTTACCATCATCATCATGGGATTGCTCATGGCGATCGCACTTCTCGAATGATTGAAAAACGGATCTTGGGCGAAAGGGTTAAAGTGGTTAACTCTTGCCGACATATTATCTCTAAAATGGTATAATAGAAAAAGAATGGTATCTTCTAGATCGACTCTTTTCATCATCATTATGGCTTCAAATAGTGATAAAAACTAACTGAAAGAAAGGATCATTGAACGGATCGTCAAATTGATTTCTTAACGCCATTTTCACAACACCTTGGGCAGGATTATTCGATAAAAACAAGTCAACGGTAGCCCCAACCCTGAGAGATGGATCAGGCTGATTTCGGAAATGTGCTGGCTGTAAAGACAGCTGATTTCCGACCAAGATTACACTGCAATACACTATTAGCAAATACTGTACTGTATGTATTGTACAGTAGTTGGAGGGAGATTTTTCCCTTCCCTTTTTACCTCATGTTATTGTTCGCAAAGTTTCTGCGCGTACAATGATGACGAAAGGATCTTGGGACTGTTGGGGAGGGCCGATCTTTTGTAGACCTATTTTTATTTATTTATTTGAATTCAATAAGTGCCAGTCTGTAACGATATGAGAGTAGAGTAGATATACTCCATGGCCATACTGTACAGTATACTAAGAACATAACATATACAGTATTGTACAATGCTCAACATATTTTATTTATTTGGGGATTGTAGATTAGATTATGCTATAGTGAGTCATCAAAGTTGGTAACCATAGAAATACTGTATGCAGTTTGAAGTGATAGTTTTTCTCCTGGATGCAGTTTGAAGTGATAGTTTCTCCTGGATGCAGTTTGAACAGATAGTTTCTACTACTACATTGCGGTCAATGGCAATGGTAAGCACTAGCCAATCTGATATTGTACTCTATACCTACATACTGTACAATGTCCATGTGTGTTGGCAGTAGTGTTGTGTAAACCCCACTCCGATTGACATGATCAACGTAACCTACTGTACAGTACTAGATTATCATTTAACTTCGGTTGAATATTGGTCGAGTTCAATTGTTGCCGCCAATAGAGTAAATGGTCTTTTTTCTTTTGCGACACGTTATTTTATCGATTGCTTGTAAGCTGCCGCTGAAGGGGATAGGTAGAGTAGTCAATACTAAAATGAAACACTTGAGCGTGTGCTGCTGAAAGTTGCGGAATATGGACTATTTTATAATGTAGTCCATGGCTAGGGGTCTTTATGCGCAATATTTTATCCATTGAAATAAGATTGAACTCCAAGTTTAAAGTGAATACAAATCGAGGCATGTCATAATAGTATTAATCATGCAATAATCATGACAATAATAATAATAATTCTATTCGATGGCTGACTGACAGCATTGTTGTAGTCTGTACGTCTGTAATTGTTGACTTAGAAGAAGTACAGTAGAGTAAAGTCTCGTTTCAAAGCTGTACAGTAGTTTTTGGTGAAAATTACCCAATCCAATTGAATGTGGAATACTCGCAGTACTGTAGAGCAGTCACTTTGAAAAGAAATGAAAGAAAGGAGAATCTGTAGTCTGGACTGTGGACGTCTTCCTTGGGCGTAATTTTTGACTCTTCAAGCGTTACGGAAATGATATGTCGATGGGAACCAGCAGAAAAAACATTAATATCATTACCCAATACTATCGATTAAACTCTCCAGTCTCAAATGGACGTATCTATATCACTTTCGCAAATCTATCAAATGGAAATAGACGATAACTAATGTACAGTACAGTACAAGAATAGAATCAATCAATCAAATAAAAATTAGCACTTGAATCGAAATTTCGATTTTCATACTGTACTGTACAGTATAGTACACTATACTGAAGTGTTGAATTTTTGATTTTACAGTTGCACAGAATGGTACAGTACAGTACAGTCTGGTCCATCGAACTCGTCCAGTTACAGTACGTTGTACTGTACACTGTACTGTACAGTAGTGCTGTCTAATAAGCCACTCCAACTAAATGTTATTATACTGTACAGTACTGTACTGTACTGTATAACTTCATTTAATAAGGTTAAGAACTGTTGAAGACTGGTAAAAGATGATACAGTCCATCACAAGTACAGTACTAAAGCAGTAGACTCCATCTGTACTGTACTGCGCATGTCGCATTGTACACTCAGTGCAACAAAAAGAAATCGAATAAAATGACAGCACAGTACTGTACACTGTAGAGTACAGTACTGTACAGTACATACAGTACAGTACATACTGTACGGTAGAGTTTTATAGGGCCTGTCGCCAGTTTAGGCCGCAACAGTACAGTACAGTAGATGGCGCGTACAGTACAGTACAGTACGTATCAACCGTACTGTACTGTACTGTATAATAATTAATTAATTAATTAATAATGCACGTAAGCACACTGACGCAATCATACTGGATGATTGATAAGGACACTTACTGTACAAGTACATTGTACAAAAGCTACACTACTGTACCATACAGTACACCAATAAAAGACCTCCTGTACAGTGTACAGTCCACAGTGTACAGTATGTGCTGCACAGTACTGTACTGTACGGACTGTGTAAGGATGCCACTGTGACTGGATTAATGTACTGTGCAGTATTTGTAGCCTTACTTTTTTGTCACCTTCAATTTTGCCTGTCGCGGCTTTTTCACTTTTTCAGGAATTGAATCGCTATCGTGGTTACAAGACACTTCTCGACTTGCTAGGTTTACGTAGAATTGATATGTAAGCAAAGGATAGTTGAAGTTAATTTAAAAGACTTGTAATAGACGACAACATCAGTATTTCTTAGTTGAAATTCGATTTTAACTTTTATTTCAATCGCGATTTACCTTGTCACCGCGCCCTGTTTTTTTCCTCTAGTTCTATTTCTTGGGTAATGTTACTGATATTGAAGCTATCGTATCCAGTAGTTTGAAAGTGATCCTACAAAAACTTGACTACATTGGTGCATATGTTTTAAATGACTTCTGCAAGCGTAGATCATCAATTGTAATAATGTCTATCGTCGATGCAGTGTTGAACAGAATTATAAATTGTATTTAATCGTAAATTACTGATGTATTTCAGAACACTTTTCAACTTTTTCAACATACCAATATCATATTCAATACACACGTATCATACTAGAATCGTGAGTCCTATACTGTACGTTATCTTTTTTGGGGCCTTTTAGTGGTAGGCAATGTTTTCTCATGTGATACCAAGCATTCACAGACTTTATGAAACAAACAGAATTTCGATAATATCTTGGCACTTTTTTTTTAATTTATTCTTAACTGGCGTTATTTACAGCGATATCTTGGACGAAATTGTTGACCACCATGAGTGATTTAGATCAACTCCGACAAGAAGCAGAAGCTTTAAAAAATCAAATCCGGGTAAGAAATGATAACATTTTACTTTTCGCTTCTTACGTATGTTACAATTTCTTTTCTTTCTTTCCTTGGTCCTTCGTTTATATTGCGGTGTGACTGAGGTGTTTTCCAACGTTTCTTTCTGTTAATTTGGTAAATGTTTTAGTTATCGCCTATCAGTGTCATATGGAACTTTGCAATTCCAAGTAAAAAGTCAAAATGATGCCGATATAAAAATTACAATGAAAGACGTAGTTATTATACGTACATCATTACTAAGGCCCGTCTTCACTATACTAAAATGCTAGCAAGCCATTTTTAATCTGGCTGATCATTATCATACTT